AACCATTGAAAAGTTAGATACAAATTCTGAACAGGAGTATTTTTATAAACACAAATGGTATTATCTTATTAGTATAATAGTTCAATATTTGGTATACCAATTTTATGTATTATATCCATAATAAATTTGTATATTTAATCCTACTCATTTTTTGATGAATAATATAAGAACAATTTTCAATAAATACGTACAAAATCTCATTTCAATTATTTTATCAACAATTATTATACATAAACTACACCGTACTAATATTTGCTGCGCAGCAATACTGAATAGGTATATTCTTAGTTACGGTTACATGAGTGACAGAACGCACCGCATAAACAGAGCAGCGGGTAGTCGCAACATGGCCCTTTGACGAATTTCGTGTGACCCGCGTTTACACGTAGTATACATTCTAAAATTCAAAATTAAACGGAGTAAATAATACGAGACACGCATATTCTGGTTTTGGTGTAATGTAGGCTAAGGACTTGTATTCTAAAAAAAAAAAAACCATGCAAATGCGCTTTAAAAAAAGGACCGAATATGCACTACATTTCTTTTATTTTACCGAAAAATCCATATATACTTGGTTTGAGAATCGAATAATAGTAATTAATTGTTAAATACCAATTATAATTATAAATTATCGAGCTGTAATCAATGAATCAACAATTGATACATTTATATATATATATATTTTTTAATCATTACTTATCATTAAAAATGTATGCGGCCCGCAAGTAATATTCAATGTCGCTCTTTGGTCCTTTCAAAAATCCTAGTGGGAACCGCTACTCTAGAGCGTCTGCCCTGAGCGCGTTCAGTGCATTTTTACAGGTGAAAATTTCGTACAATTAATTATATAAACAATTATATTTATATATTATTTTTAGAATTGTTTTAATAGATTAAAATTTGTTGGCCGTCCATAGAGAAGTCTTTATTAATTGATCCCGATGAAGTTTTTGATGTACTGACTCAATAGTCAAAGAAAATCAATATAATTTTGTAAATTTAATATTTTAATTAAAAATATAATACTCTGTTTATTATTGATTATTGTTTTTGTATAAAAAAGGGGTTGTGCGGACATAGCCCTACGGCTTACTTTTTAATAAAGTTTCATATTCCCTCTCACCCCGTTAAAAAATGCCGAGAACGCATACGTCTATCCTACAAGCTAATAAGATATACGTATATACTTTATTATTATTATCATTATGAAAAAAAAAAAAAAAAAATGATATCCTATATTCAATATTTACACAATAATAAATTGGCATTGTTTTATTATTTAAATTAATAATCAGTACGTATTTTATATTTGTTTTTGGATTACTCATACAATATTGTGCGAGTTGATTATAATTTTTTTAATAAACTTATACTCATAAACGTACCGATGTAAAATTAACTCGTACAAACACAATATATTTTTTAAGTACCTACCTACACACATACAATTAATTTTATGGTACTAGAACAACATTTGTTTCATCTCAAAAATGTATTAACTGCTTCCAAAAAAGCGTGCCCGGCGGATAGGTAGGACTGTATTACAAATCCTATGTCCATGTTTATTTTAAACATGTATTACATTGAATTTAAATACAAAAACAATTATAAAATATTTTAAATTACTCATGTAGCTGATGTCACGTAAAGCATATGGTTCTAATTACTGTTTATTCACCAACAGTCGTATGCACACATAAAACGTATTAACTATTATACCTACTATTATATTTTCCAAAGAGCTGAATATTATCATATTTACCAAACTAAATGACGAAATTCTAATTTTTTTGGTTCAAAGCACGTGTTATAATATAAGATTAAAATTTGCAATTGATTAAATAAAATAATAGTAAACGTCCGATTAACAAATTAACTGTTTGCCTAGCCAAGACGTGTAAATGGTTCCTATTAATACATTTTCTAACTTAAGACTTGCATACAATGATTTAAAAAAAAAAATTACATTTTGACTACCAAAAATCTAATTTGATTAAAAAATCAAATATTAAGATTCTAAGATATTTAATTAAAATAAACTTTGGTTTAGCTTAAATACTATAATATTATTATTGTATGATTTATTATAATATTATAATTGTATTATTTTTGTTATTAATAATGTTATTTAAAGTAGTATAAATTGTATACGAATAATCTTACCGATCCCAATTTGTCGAAAATTAAGTTTTTATAAATATAGTGATTTTATAAAATATTTTAATATTTAATCTAATCATCATCTCCTAAATGTTTTATTTTAATAAAGAAATGAAAACATGCGAAATTTGTCATTTGCTGATTAATCTTTTTAATAAGAAAAAATATTAGGAGAATCATTTATATAATTTTCAATATCTTTCAAAAATCTTTGTGTCAATTGTTTGATCCCAGGAGAAACTTAGTGAGAGAACTTTTGATTCGTTTTGACTATTTGAAAGTTTGAAAAAAATGTTTTTATTTTTTTTTTTAAATAAAACAAAAAGTTTTTTGGTTTGTTTAAATAGAAACTGAAATATAAAATGAATAGACAATTGATAGAGAAATGAATAGAAATAAATGATAAATAGTAATGTTTGGCATGGTTTTCACTGAATGACATCGATGACAAACATCAATGTTTTTTTCGAGCAACCGTCGCAACTTCGGGTTAAACCAGTTGACCAGTGCAGTATTTGAAAGTGAATTATGTTAAGCAACTTAGACACGCTTTGGACTTGATGTGTCCATCATATAATTATTGTTGAAAGAATGCTGAGATGGCGTTATTTAACATATATTTTTAATAAATAATCACATTATTGTTGTGATTCACGTTTTATTACTGATGATGATCCATTTAAAACGTGATCGTACTCATCTTGGTTAAGCTGATTTCCACATCTCAACATAATCATTTTATGGTAATCTGAAATTACAAAACACTATATGTGTGACACAATATTTGTACGTACGTATAGTATATTATAATTGATTATTTTTTTTTTTATAAAAATTGATTCCAGTAAAACAAAAGCTATGTGAACATAACGTTCGAAGAATTCAAATAAAGAAAGGGTGGATAAAAAGTATTAAGTACAATCAACTCATTTCCATTCTTTTGATGTAATATTTATTGTCTATAGACGTGTGCAGTGGCGTATCCAGGAGGGGGGCACAGGGGCCATGACCCCCCCCACTTTGGCTGTATTTACTAAATTATATTTTAAAGATTTATATTTATTCGTACTTATACATGAATGCATACTAAAATAATATGCTTATACCAATGAATATTTTGCGGTTTTACCAGTAATCACTATTACCGTTATCACGTTTCATTAACATGGTTCCAGAGTTTCAGATGCCGCCAGTGAGTAGTTACATAGCTGTTTTAGTGACACTGATATAGTTTGACGGTCTCCGTACCACAATTCGTGGTGTAAATAGTGTAATCAGTTTTCACTTATCAATATTCAGAAAATCTACAACCGTATCGTTAAAGTGTATTATTTTAGACTGACGTTAACGTAAAATACGAGTATAGTCACAGTGTAAATTATTGAATTATTCAGTAATAGGTATTTTTTTTTTTTGTATTCAAAACCATAAGTCAAATAGCAACAAGTATGTCTGAAAAAAGATCAACGTTATATTCAATTTTCAACACAAAGAAAAAAAAAGTTGAACAATTTAATAACACGGTAAGAATATAATTTTGTATTATTATAATATATAATTCAATTTTTCAAGTTTTTAGTCTTACTATTTAATTTTATTCATGTTTAGTCCTCAATTATTGGTAATGTAGACGCAGTGACTACGGATAATTTAAAAAATAGCCAAGACGATGTTAGTATTATGATTACAATATGTCAATATTGATTTAATTGTAAATAAAACTAAATAAATATATTTATGTTAATATTTTAGAATAAAGAATTGCATGGTTTTGCCTCAACTACAACTCATATTTTGCATGATATTGCTTCTTGTGTAGTTAATAGATCTTTGAATAGCTTTGAAATAACTGCTTGCTGGAAAAATGCATATATACCGCCACCTTCTTACGATTTTTCTATAAGTATTGAAGGTAAACGGAAACGAAAATTTCAGTATAAATATTTACTATCATTTCCATGGCTTACTTATAGCGTAATTAAACAAGGTGCTTATTGTAAATGGTGTGTAGTTTTTTCGACTACCGGAGGAAATCAGATAAAAAGTAAATAGGTAAATCGAATTAATAATTTTTATAAAGTTATTTAATAGATATATATGTTTTTAGTGTTTAGGTAAATTAGTTAAAGAACTGTTAGTCAAGTATAAGAATATAATTATTGATTTAAAAAATCATAAGAAAAAAGAATATCATCTCAAAAGGCGAATAATTTCATACGTAACACGGAAAGTGGATTTGAAAAATCTGTATATCTATTGTTAAATAAACACAAACAGCAAGTAATTGAATATAATCGTAAACGATTTATTCCAATTGTCAAAACTATTTTTTTTTTGTGCTAAAAATAATTTATCTTTGAGAGGACATCGAGAGTGTGGTTCAATGGCATCAGAAAGTACAAGGAAAAGTTGTTTGTCTGGAGAACAAAGTACCCTACGAGCACTTTTAGCGTTTCACGTAGAGAGTGGTGACAAAGATATTTTATCACATTTTGATACTTCATCCAAGAACTGTACAATGATTAGTTCTGTGATTTAAAATAAAATTATTGATGTGATAGTTAATGTTGTTATAAAAAAATAGTTGAAAAAGTAAAAATGGCCAAATACTATTCGATACTTTGTGATGAAACAACTGATGTTACCACACTAGAACAAATGACAATTTGCATTTGTAATGTCAACGTAACGACTTGAGTTATTCGAGAAGATTTTCTAGGATTTATTGAAATGGTTTCAACTACTTGTACAGTAATTAAAAATACTATCGAACAAAAGCTAGTTTCAATAAGTTTAAGTATGAAAGTATTCGAGGCTAAGGTTACGATGGTGGTAGTAACATGTCTGGACAAATAAATGGTGTCCAAGCTCTTATTTTGAAAGAGCAACCTTTAGCTTTCTACACTCATTGTTTTAACCATTCCCTCAATTTGTGTTTATCCAAAGCATGCAAAGTATTCACAATAAAAATAAAAATGGAATTACTCGTATTTCTACAATTTCAACTTTTTTTTCTGCTTCTATATTACGTGTCAATAAACTTACATCTATAATTGAGTTGAATGATAAAAATAATAAACTCAAGACCTTATGTGAGACTCGTTGGATTGAATGGCATGATGCATTAATTATATTCAAAGAATTGTTTTTGTACATCATAGAAACTTTAGACGACTATGAAAATAATGGTAGTAAATCAGATTTCTCAAGTAAAGCAGTGATGTATGGTAGTGCTATCAGAAAAAGCGATCATGTCGTTTCATTAGAAGTAGTAGTTTTTATTTTTTCCTATACATTAAATTTAAGTCAAGTTTTTCAAAGTAAACAACAAGACTTATCAAAAGCACTAAATGATGTTGTAACTGTACGAGAATCTTTAGAATCTATTCGTAGAGATGTTGATATTAATTTCAAAAATATATTTAGTGAAGTACTTAAGATTGCTTCTAAAATAGACGTCGATATTAAAATACCTCGAGTTGTTGCAAACAAAATAAAAGAGCAAATGTGAACGTTAAAAATCCGGAAGATTATTACTAAATAACTATATTCATTCCATTTCTTGGCCAAATTATATGTGAATCAAGGATACGATTTAATTAAAAGTTAAGAGAAATTATTCCACTTGAAGGGTTAACCCTATCATATTTCAATAAATATGATACCAAAACTATTTTAGAGACTGCAAAAATATACGAAAATGATCTTCCGTTAAATGTAATTGTTACATTACAGGGTGAATTATGTATATAGCAAAATCAATGGAAAAACGATGGACAAAATAGCACAGTGAATAAACCTCAAATCGCTATTGAGACTTTACCTTATTGTATAAATATTGTGCCTAATATTAAATTGTTTTTACAAATATTCACAACTCTTTCTGTTACAACAGCTACGCTAGAACGTACTTTTTCTATCTTAAAACGACTGAAAACATACCGAAGATCAACAATGACTGAAAATAGACTAAATGGATTAGCTCTAGTAAACATAAATAAAAAAGAGGTCATTTCGGAAACTGAAATCATTGAGGATTTGGCAAAAAATGCCCAAAAAAAAATTGCAACTCGTTGATTGGTCAAAATAATTGTATACTATCTACAATTACTTTTATACACTTATAATTTTGTTTGGACTAACCCGTTTTTATTATTAAATTACTATTTATTATTATGTACATATATATTAACTTAATGACTAACTGAAAATATAAATAAATTATTTGCATTAAAAACATTAAATATTTGGTTTATTTATTTTTTATCTTTTTGGTAGTAAGAGGTGTATATGGTAATGTTTTAGACAGCGTGTGCCACCCCCCTCCTAAAAAAAATTCTGGATACGCCACTGGACGTGTGCACTCACCGAAACCAAGTAATGTCTCGTGTTATTGCCTTATTTATTATATATATATATTTAAATATCGCTAAAAAAATAATATTTCTTATTCACGCTCAACACTCAAATTTGATACAATATAACGAAGGTACTTGACATACATTTTAAAAGTATACTGATCGTGTTTACATATTTTTATTTTTTTATGAACTGTAAGTCAAATATAATTGTACAAAGTTCGAACATTTGACAAAGGAATCCTACGTAAGTATTGAGACGAAGCTAAATATACTAATCCAACTGAAGACTATTCTAATATTTCAAAAGTCAACATGCTTTGATGCCTTTGTTTTATCGTTTTCCGTTCCGCTACAATTATTTAGGAATAATATTTTTATTAAATAAAAATGACGTTTGTTTTTTCAACAAGAAAAATATGAATTCTCTATCCGGCATTTGATCGAATCGATAGTTCAAAAAAAACATTAAAGGCACGGTAATAGTCAAATCTCTAATAATTATTTGTAAAATAAGTCAAAAAAATATTTAAAAAAATAAAAATATATAAATTCAGCGGCTGAAATTTGCGGTGATACCACTATATACAGATATATATATATATATTTATATATGTATGTGTGTGTGTGTGTTTATACAGATGAACATCATGTTTCACTCTAGCACGTATAACATAAAAATAGGAATGAAATAAAATTATATTCAAACATAAAAAATTATCACACACAATGCAATTGTTTTCATTTAGACTTGAGTTTTGCTGACAATTTGGGAAAAATTATTTATTTTAATTCCATTGATTTCATCATTTATTTATTTAAGTTGAAACTTGGCGCCTTCAATTATATAAATTATAATGATTATAAGTTATAATTTATAACAATTATTCATAAATTATAATATAAAAACAATAAAACACAAAAAACAAATAATATAATATATTTAAAGCTTTGTATTAATATGTATACGAAAAAAAATTAGTAAGTCCAATTATAATTATAGTTAGTTTATCTGTTAAATTTAACACTATATGGCACAGCCATATTTTTAGTTCTCGAGACTAAACTCATATAGGTAAAATTTTTATTTAACACGACTAATTATTATTTTGTTAAATTCCAATCGTTTATTAAAGTTAAAAGAATTATTTAACCATGTAATTCTAACTAGATAATTTAGTTAATGTTATCATACTTAGTAGTCATTTTAACTACATATTTAGTTGATTTAATTAATTTTTATCAGGAAAAATCACTAAAAAAAAAAAAAATGTTCCAATGCCAATACAACTAAATATGTAGTTCTTCTTATTATATAATTTTATTAAACGTACCATAATATTATAGTCAATCTTGTAAAAAGATAAAGTAGTAAAAATGAAATAAACAAGAACACAGATTATAAATAAAACTTATTTATTATATAATAATATTAATATTTATACACAGTCTATAAAGGGGCATCGCCCGTTACCGCACAAATGCGCAAAATACGCATGGGACAAAACCGCACACAGATTTTAAAATACTAGATATCCCATTGCCGCACACGTATATTTTGGACGATTATCGTCACTTATCGACAATTATCTATAACGACATTATTAAGTTTTATCTGTAAAAGATTGTATTCGCTGTATACAAATTTTTAGTGCGTTTTTAGTCGTCTTTCAATCTTTGAATCATTCCACGTGACATTTATAATAAAATGAATACAATATGTTTAAAATTTTTATTAATAACCGTGGTAATAGTTCTATTCATTTCGACAACTATAACTTTCGTTATTTTAGAACTAATAAAAATTCAGGTGATATTGTTTGGCGGTGTGTGCAAAAAACATGTAATGTAACTATTATCACCAACAATGAAAAAACCGTTTTCATTCACAGTAATATTAAACCAACACGACGAGGACAATGATGAACAAAAAAAATAACTACAAAAAAATCGTACAGCGATTAAACGTAAAGCTATTGAAAATGTACGAGTATATGAAAAGCCAATAAAAATAATTCGTAAAGAATTATCAAGTATTGAAGACTCTCAGGTATGATCATCTAATATAAATGCTCTTCGAAAGTCTATGTATCGAGAACGACGCAAAACTTTACCTACCGTTCCATCATCTATAACCGATGCTATTCAAAAAGTTAAAATTGTTTGTATTAAGAATAAATCTAAAGAAAATTTTGTACATCTACTTGATGAGGATAAAATAATAATTGTAACTTGTAAAACAAATTTATTATTTCTTAATGACAATACGGAAACTTTTAGCCGACGGTACATTCACATATTGCCCAAAACATTTTTTTCAGCAATATACAATACATGATTTAACAAGAGGCCACTACGTTCCGTTAGTATTTGGTTTTTTGCCATCTAAAACATTAAAATTTTATATTCGTATGTGGACAAATTTAAAAAACCTATGTTTACAATTACATTAACAAATACCAATTTAAATCCACAATTATTATTTCTTGATTTTGAAGTCGGAGTTCATACTGCAGCGAGTAATGTATTTAAAAATATCAAAATTAAAGCATGCCAGTTTCATTTATGTCAAGCATGGTATCGAAAAATAAATTCTATTCCAATACTGCATAAAGAGTACAAAGATAAAAATTCAGAGATTAAAAAGTGGCTTAAAATGTTTTTCGGATTACCGTATTTACCGGAAAATTTGATTTCCGATGCTTTTAATGACATTTTATCTGAAGCTCCAAAACTTAAAAAATGCACCGAGTTTGCTAATTATGTACTTGAAAATTATATTGACACTGAACAATTTCCTTCTTCAATGTGGGCTGAAGAACCTAATGCTTCAAAAAGAACGACTAACGGTGCTGAATCATACCACAGTCAACTTCGGTTTGAATTTTATATTCCACATCCATCTGTTTCCAAGTTGTACGTATGAAAACTATTAATTATTAAAATATAGTAATAACTAGTAATTATTATATATTTTTTAGATTGATGTTTTAATAGACCAAAAAGTGATTAAAGAAGCGATAATGCGAAGAATTAAGAAGGGAACTCTGAAGCAATACAGCGGAAATGTGATCGGGAACGAGAAGCTAATTTGGTATATCGGTATTCGCTTTTATTAACAGACTTTAATGAAATATATTGAAAAAACAGGTTTACATTTTAAACCAATATAGGTGTCTACAATAATATTTTTGTTTAAATTATTACATTTTTATTATTATTACTAATACTACTAAAAATGATGACTAAAAATTATTTTTAACTATTTAAATTTTTTTATATAATATTTATGCGGCATCGTACCATTTGTTGTATGCGGAACTAGGCTATACCTTTTTATAAATCTGTGCGGTATCGTACTATTTTTATGTGCGTATTGGGTTATGTATCTTGTGCGGTATTGGGTCATGTTTGTGCAGTAATGGAAAGCGCCGATATAAAGGTACATGAAAAAATTAAATAATTCATTAATATCAATTAAATTGATAGTTTAGTTATTAAAAACAATTAATGAACAAAAAAATACTATTTATTATTTTGGTATAAAATATAAGTTATAAGGCCTAATGCAATGTATAGTATTTTTTATACGATCTAAATTATTAAGTGAGCAACATATTAATTTTGTAGTTAAATTCACATTATAATATTGCAAATCAGTGGTCAAAATGGCTCAAGATAAATGGAGGGATGCTTTATAATTCAGATTTCCTGATATCATCATAACATTCTTCACACTTTGTGTACCTATAATATTTTATTTATTTTTTTTATAGTTCACTTAAGGTATATTATCTTAGTCCGTAGCTCTAAATACGGGTATAATACGGGTTGAGAAATGGCTTATACTAAACAACATAATAAGCCGGGCGCCCGGGCCTGGATGTTAAAAAATAATTATTTTCACCGAAAAAAAAATAATATCTTATATATAAATATAAAAATGATAATAAGTATATCATTTTAAAAAACAAGTCTTAGGAGGAATGCGTTATTTTAAACAAAACAAGTAGAGGGATGAAAATTGTAATCACACATAAGTAGAGGGATGCCATCCCTCCGTATCCTCCCACTTCAAGCAATGTTGCAAATGTTCATAAAAAAAATGAAAATGAAAAATATTGCATATTGCATAATAATTCTCTGAGATGTC